TTGTGAGATAATGTACATTTGCAAACATGTCAAAGCTGCAGCAAATTGCAGGGGCCTGGGTGTTACAATCTTTCCTGCTCGCCTCAGAGTCCTGGAGCGTACAGGTCTTGGGGGTATGGACGGTCGGACGGAGGTCTAGTCCTTTCAGACTGAGCTCCTGTTGCCCCCCATGAGTCTGATGATGTTATAGGAGTGTGATGCTCAGCGGAGTACTGCCAAACTCTTAAACTGAGGGTGTAAAGGCAGAACAAAGAGGGCGTTTATCAGTATCTTGAGTTGCCTATTGTGATTCTCCAAACTTTATTTTTAAATGTAGGTGCTTCTTCTTTTCCCCAATTAAAGGATGTGTGTACAAAAACATGAATTTGCCAAATGAATAAAAATGAGACAAAAACAGAGCGATGCAACAAGAAGCCTTACTGTTAATAAAACAGCAATACTAATACTAATAAATAACCAATAATACAAATATCAATGGATGATTAAACAGTACAAAACATTTTTATATTTTTTTATTAACTAAAAGGAACATAAGATCATCAAATACAGTTTTACATATTCAATCCCCCTAAAATAAGAGAGGAAATACATTTAGCAGTTCGTTCCCCTTTAAAGTAGCTTTAATGTTTATGGTGTTTCCTTCTGCTTTTATCTTGTCTTATCATATTGTGCATTCATGTGGTGTGACGGAGTGTTGTCGTCATAACGACAACACTCCGTCACGGCGGATGCTTAGAAACGTTTGATTAATGGTGCAAAATCATGTATTGCATATACGTTTTTTTCCTAAGGTGGCCATTTGTAATATGGTATTAAGTTATCACGGTTGGTTTGCTGTCCATGTAGAGTGACCTGGATTAATTAGGAAAGTTATATATTTGTTTCAGGTGCAGTGACAAAAATCATTTGTAGTAGAAAGGTTTAAACGTTTCAGCAGACTACAACAACTCAGTACGTCTTTATAGTAGCGTCCATGTTGATTCCACATGCCAACCTAAAAGCACATCAACACACCGAAGTCCGACTTCACAACTCTGGAAATGGGACCATCCCAGGAGCAAGTGAATGCACCATTATTATTTGTTTTATGTTGTAGTAGTTCCTGGCAGAATGTGAATGATCCTCACACGAGAATTTAAAACTCCAGATTACAGTAGGCTGATGATACTCAGAAAAGGCCCCAGCTCGTTTGGATGTTGCTGTTGTGAGATGAACTGTATGTATGAAACCACCAAATGTCGTGTGCAGTGCTGATCGAGCAGGTTAAGAACCCAAACGCAGGACACCAGAGCGGAGCAGGTATAGTCCAATGATTTATTAACAAAAGGAGAGCACACTTACAAACTGTGGCTACGTCCAAATAGAATCCAAAGTATGTCCAAAAAACAAAAGCAAGGTGATGCAGAATACGAGGCAGGAACGAACTCAGGCAACAGATCAACACGGGATACACGCAACAATGAACCAACAAAGACTGACCAGAACGCAGGGACTGAAATACTCAGGCTAACGAGCAGGGTGGGAAAAACAAACATGAGCAGCTAATTAGGCACAGCAGACACACAGGGAAACGAGACAGAGTGAAACAGCAAGGTAACCAGGCAGGAAACGAATAAAGAATAAAACCGAAATGACTACAAACACAAGCGGACACACGTCCAGAAACAAAAGTACAGAAACAAAGGCAGTGGTGACAAACTAATAATCAAGACAAAAATACAGGAGCAAAGCTAGACAAGAACACCAGGCACGAAAGATTACAAAATAAAAGGCAGTAAAGTACACAAGAACGCACAAGGACAGATCCACCAAAGAAAAACACAAACATGGAAAGACTGCAAAAACAGGAGCAAACAGGAGACACAGGACTAAGGGCTGAGATAAAAGACAAGACAGATACTAAGAAAACTTTAAACATGCAAATGAACTAAAAACTAAACTTAGCTACAAAACCCAAAACGTGACAAAATCAAATAAAGCTCAGAAAAACACACAACCCAAAACCAAACCCACGAAACCAGATACTAAGTAAAGTGGAACATGTGAATGAATAAAATAATAAACAAGGCTACACAGAGAAACACAGAACCAACAACAGACGTAAGCAGGAAAGACATGAAGACAAAGCTCTAACACCAAAAGACACTTGCGGCGTCAGTTTCAGGTACTTTAACTATGTGGACGTTGTGACTCGAGACAGAAACATGCTCCTGTTTCATTTAAAGGCCGTGCAGTTTCTGTAACACACAACTCTGTTTTTACGTGGGATGTTGTCGAAGGCACAGTGTGCAATTCTGCAAAAGACAAAAACGTCTCTCCGCCTGTTTGGAGCTGAAAATTGATGCGGCTCATCTGGGACTTGTGGTCTATATCAGAAATCCACATCATATCCTGGCGGCATCTGTCTGCAGCTGCCCTCCCTTCCCCTGCCTCTCTCCAGGGTTTAATTAGAGCCGCTGAGCTCTGTGTGAATAATGCAGCACCTGAACTCACCTGAGCCGGCTGCTCGAGCTGAAGAACTGCAGGGAGGCCGAGAGAGCACCGCCTCCAGAGAGAGAGAGAGAGAGAGACGAAATGACTTCAGTGGATTTAAAAGGTGTTCATGTCATTTTAATCAGTGCACTAATGGAACAAACTACTAATTGTATTTCCTCTCTTATTATTTAGGGGGAACTGGATAAACATATAAAACTATTTTATTTGTATTTTTGGTTATTTATTAGTATCAGTATTGCTGTTGTTAACAGAAGGCTACTTGTTGCATCGCTCTGTTTTTGTCTCTTGTTTTTATTTATTTAACAAATTCATGTTTTTGTACTCACATCCTTTACTTGGGGACGCACTTACATTTACAAATACTCCATTAAAATTCTGTAATTCCTGCGGTAGGAAAAAGGAAAATATGCTTGTGGTAGAGAAAAGTAAAAGGTTCTTTTTAAGCAGAAAGCAGCTTTTTCGAGGATTGCATTGTTATATTTGTCCCTGAAAGGTAGTGGAATTAAATCATCATGGGATCCTCAAGTAAAGTACAATTTGCTTAAAAAATGTATATAACTATAATACCTGAGTAAATCTAATTAGTTACCTTCCACTCCTGCTTTTATAAGAACCCTTGAAAACTGAATTCTACTGTAAGAGGACTTCATGAACTCTCCTGCCACGTCTGTTTCATTTCTCTTATCTGTTTTTATCCCGTTTGTATAAGTGTGAAAGAAAACAACTAACAGCTGTTGACAGTATTATTAGTATTGTTGAAGACGCTATTAGTTGCTTGTAATATCATTAGAATTATGTAACTTTAATGATTATGTTTTACAATAATGACATTTCAGTAAAATACAGAAGAAATAGCAACAAGTGAGGAAAAAGAAGTCAGACTGACTGCAGCAGGATGAAGTCTGGGATGTTTGTGCCACCTAGTGCTCTTTTTCTGCAGCACATAGATGGAAATATTACATAGATACATTGATCAAGGCTATACGTAGATGATCAACTGTGCAAAATGGGCATATGTCCGGGGCCCCAGAGCCCAAGGAGGCCAAACGTCCTTAGATTCACTGTGTTTCAAAAAGCTGACATAATATTTAAAACTGTTTACAGACTCAGGTCCAGATCTTTCCCACAGAAATACACAAATACATACCAACATTCACACATGCACGCCCACATTCATACATAAAAACAACAGCATAATAAATCATGATTTACACCACTAAAAGAAAAGAGACAAATGTTATCAGTGTCCTACCAGGAGACAGTTAAACCAGTGTTTCCACACACAGTGTTGGTGTCATCTAGCACTTATCTGTATGTTTGCAAAGCCCAAAATTATTTGATTTTCTGAATCATTAAGCCGGCACATGAATTTATACATGAGGTTTCTTCAGACTGCGTGACAGGTCTTTTCTCCTGCAGCCACAAACGTCTTTCCTGCACTGCACCATCTCGGTCTCCTGAGTAATATTCCCACTGCATTGTTATTAGGTTTCTGTAGACTTGCTTTTATTTGACCACAAGTGTGCAGTACAGAGCGGTGTACAATCTGTTGTTTAGGAATTTATAACATCTAAATACAATATCAACCAAGGGCGTCCTACGAGATCATGCGATCGTGAGTCCAAATCTAGTTTTAAGACTTTATTTCAGTTGATATTCTGTTCACCTGCTGGCTGTTTCCAAATAATGTTGTGCTGTAATGAAATTGCCCCCTAACATTTTTATTTCTATTACCACTTGAAGATTAGAAAATGATACAGCCCTTTTCATAAATGTAGATCTAGTAAACTATAAACAACACTTTTCAGATGTTCTGAGTGACTTTATTGCACATTACATTAAAATAAAGCACACAGCCCCTTTAAGACAAATTACATCTTAATCATTGTCCTCAAAGTGCAAAAGCTCTTCTATAACTCATCAACTCATGTTATCTCTTCCTCTATAAACAGTATTGATTTAAAAAGTGGACACTCAATAAGTTTAACCTGGATTTATATCGTCAGTGGACTTCATGAAAGCAATGTTATTTAATTACAATAAAATATATTGTAGCCTACATTCTGCACATATAACACGTATTGGACAAACATTTGCTTTCACTACATTTGAACATTTATTTAAAATAATTTTCTAAAATAGATAAATCCATTTTATGTTGTTGTCTAAACAAATGCATATATAATAACAAAAAAACATTTTTATAATCCCTGAGAAAGAAATTTAACTTTATTTATTTAACAAAAGGCTCCGAAGATACTTAATGTCTGTACTGCTTTGAAGGTCTTATTTTCATTTATTTATTTTCCTCTTTTGTGCTGTCTTGTTTTGTTATTTATCACTTATGTGTTGTATGTAACTTTTACAATGTCGTGATTCTTGTTTTAGGTTGTTTTGATATTATTTTCTTACTAATAAAAGGCACAAGAGGGGAAAAACGTAGAGCGTGTGAGTTTTGCGATTACCTGGAGACCTTGAAGGCAGCATGGCAACCTTCTCCAACCTCTGATTGGTCCGTTAGCCGCTGTTTTGACCACGTGATGCTAAAGATGGCGGCCAGCACCGGTGGTAAAGACGGTAAGTTGGATGTTTTTTAAGGGTGTCGGTGTCTTTAATGAGGCAGTTATGCACTCGCAGCGGATTCCTCACCTGTAAATGAAACTCAGAGTCCGTCAGACAGCAAGCAGCTGAAAAAAGGAGCAAGTGTTTAGTTTGTAATGACGCTGAAGAGCCAGCAGCTAGCCGGCTGTGCTAACAGGCTAACCAGCAGGTTGCGTGTTTTTACGTCAGTTTAGTTACCAGTTACCAGCTACCTGTTACCAGTTACCAGCTACCTGTTACCAGTTACCAGCTACCTGTTACCAGCTACCTGTTACCAGTTACCAGCTACCTGTTACCAGCTACCAGTTACCAGTTATCAGTTATCAGTTATCAGTTACCAGTTATCAGTTACCAGTTATCAGTTATCAGTTACCAGTTATCAGTTACCAGCTACCTGTTACCAGTTACCAGCTACCTGTTACCAGCTATCAGTTACCAGCTACCTGTTACCAGTTACCAGCTACCAGTTACCAGCTACCAGTTACCAGTTACCAGTTACCAGCTACCAGTTACCAGCTACCAGCTACCAGTTACCAGCTACCAGCTACCAGTTACCAGCTACCAGTTACCAGTTATCAGTTATCAGTTATCAGTTACCAGCTACCTGTTACCAGTTATCAGTTACCAGTTACCAGCTACCAGCTACCTGTTATCAGTTACCAGTTACCAGCTACCAGCTACCAGTTACCAGCTACCTGTTACCAGTTATCAGTTACCAGTTACCAGTTATCAGTTATCAGTTATCAGTTACCAGTTACCAGTTATCAGTTACCAGTTATCAGTTATCAGTTATCAGTTACCAGTTATCAGTTACCAGTTACCAGTTATCAGTTACCAGCTACCAGTTACCAGCTACCAGTTACCAGCTACCAGTTACCAGCTACCTGTTACCAGTTATCAGTTACCAGTTATCAGTTACCAGTTATCAGTTACCAGTTATCAGTTACCAGTTACCAGTTACCAGTTATCAGTTACCAGTTATCAGTTATCAGTTACCAGCTACCTGTTACCAGCTACCTGTTACCAGCTACCTGTTACCAGTTATCAGTTATCAGTTATCAGTTACCTGTTACCAGTTACCAGTTACCAGTTATCAGTTACCAGTTACCAGTTATCAGTTACCTGTTTAAGTTACCTGTTTAAGTTACCAGTTATCAGTTACCTGTTTAAGTTATCAGTTACCAGTTACCTGTTACCAGCTACCTGTTACCAGTTATCAGTTACCTGTTTAAGTTATCAGTTACCAGTTACCAGTTACCAGCTACCAGTTACCAGCTACCTGTTACCAGCTACCTGTTACCAGCTACCTGTTACCAGCTACCTGTTACCAGTTATCAGTTACCAGTTATCAGTTACCTGTTTAAGTTATCAGTTATCAGTTATCAGTTACCAGTTATCAGTTACCAGTTACCAGTTACCTGTTTAAGTTACCAGTTACCAGTTATCAGTTACCAGTTATCAGTTACCTGTTTAAGTTACCAGTTATCAGTTACCAGTTATCAGTTACCTGTTTAAGTTATCAGTTACCAGTTACCAGCTACCAGCTACCAGTTACCTGTCCAGTTTGAGCAACTCACATTCCGCTTACAGCCTGTTTTTGTTTTAAATAAACAGGCTAACCAGCAGGTTGCGTGTTTTTACGTCAGTTTAGTTACCAGTTACCAGCTACCTGTTACCAGCTACCAGTTACCAGCTACCTGTTACCAGCTACCAGTTACCAGCTACCTGTTACCAGCTACCAGTTATCAGTTACCTGTTTAAGTTATCAGTTACCAGTTATCAGTTACCAGCTACCAGCTACCAGCTACCAGTTACCTGTCCAGTTTGAGCAACTCACATTCCGCTTACAGCCTGTTTTTGTTTTAAATAAACAGGCTAACCAGCAGGTTGCGTGTTTTTACGTCAGTTTAGTTACCAGTTACCAGCTACCTTTTACCAGTTACCAGCTACCTGTTACCAGTTACCAGCTACCTGTTACCAGCTACCAGTTATCAGTTACCAGTTACCAGTTACCTGTTTAAGTTATCAGTTATCAGTTACCAGCTACCAGCTACCTGTCCAGTTTGAGCAACTCACATTCCGCTTACAGCCTGTTTTTGTTTTAAATAAACAGGCTAACCAGCAGTTTGCATGTTTTTACGTCAGTTTAGTTACAAGTTACCAGCTATCAGTTACCAGCTACCTGTTACCTGTCCAGTTTGAGCAACTCACATTCCGCTTACAGCCTGTTTTTGTTTTAAATAAACAGGCTAACCAGCAGGTTGCGTGTTTTTACGTCAGTTTAGTTACCAGTTATCAGTTATCAGTTATCAGTTACCAGTTACCAGTTACCAGCTACCTGTTACCAGTTACCAGTTACCAGCTACCTGTTACCAGCTACCTGTTACCAGCTACCAGTTACCAGCTACCAGTTACCAGCTACCAGTTACCAGCTACCTGTTACCAGCTACCAGTTATCAGTTACCAGTTATCAGTTATCAGTTATCAGTTACCAGTTACCAGTTATCAGTTACCTGTTTAAGTTATCAGTTATCAGTTATCAGTTATCAGTTACCAGTTACCAGCTACCTGTTACAGCTACCTGTTACCTGTCCAGTTTGAGCAACTCACATTCCACTTACAGCCTGTTTTTGTTTTAAATAAACAGGCTAACCAGCAGGTTGTGTGTTTTTACGTCAGTTTAGTTACCAGTTATCAGTTACCAGCTACCTGTTACCAGCTACCTGTTACCAGCTACCTGTTACCAGCTACCAGTTATCAGTTACCAGTTACCTGTTTAAGTTATCAGTTATCAGTTATCAGTTACCAGCTACCAGCTACCAGCTACCAGTTATCAGTTATCAGTTATCAGTTACCAGTTACCAGTTACCAGTTATCAGTTATCAGTTACCAGCTACCAGTTACCAGCTACCAGTTACCAGCTACCAGTTACCAGCTACCAGTTACCAGCTACCAGCTACCTGTTACCAGCTACCTGTTACCGGCAGCTACCAGTTACCAGTTACCAGCTACCAGTTACCAGCTACCAGTTACCAGCTACCTGTTACCTGTTACCAGTTACCAGCTACCAGTTACCAGCTACCAGTTACCAGCTACCAGTTATCAGTTACCAGCTACCTGTTACCAGCTACCTGTTACCAGCTACCTGTTACCAGCTACCTGTTACCAGCTACCAGTTACCAGTTACCTGTTTAAGTTATCAGTTATCAGTTACCAGCTACCAGTTATCAGTTATCAGTTACCAGTTACCAGTTACCTGTTTAAGTTATCAGTTATCAGCTACCAGCTACCAGTTATCAGTTATCAGTTATCAGTTATCAGTTATCAGTTACCAGTTATCAGTTATCAGTTATCAGTTATCAGTTACCTGTTACCAGTTACCAGTTACCAGTTACCAGTTACCAGCTACCAGTTACCTGTCCAGTTTGAGCAACTCACATTCCGCTTACAGCCTGTTTTTGTTTTAAATAAACAGGCTAACCAGCAGGTTGCGTGTTTTTACATCAGTTTAGTTACCAGTTATCAGTTACCAGTTACCAGCTACCTGTTACCAGCTACCTGTTACCAGCTACCTGTTACCAGCTACCTGTTACCAGCTACCAGTTACCAGTTACCAGCTACCAGTTACCAGCTACCAGTTACCAGCTACCAGTTACCAGCTACCAGTTACCAGCTACCTGTTACCAGTTACCAGCTACCAGTTACCAGCTACCAGTTACCTGCTACCAGTTACCTGTTACCTGTTACCAGTTACCAGTTACCAGCTACCTGTTACCAGCTACCTGTTACCAGCTACCAGTTACCAGCTACCAGTTACCAGCTACCTGTTACCAGCTACCAGTTATCAGTTACCAGTTATCAGTTACCAGTTACCAGTTATCAGTTACCTGTTTCAGTTATCAGTTATCAGTTATCAGTTACCAGTTACCAGCTACCTGTTACAGCTACCTGTTACCTGTCCAGTTTGAGCAACTCACATTCCACTTACAGCCTGTTTTTGTTTTAAATAAACAGGCTAACCAGCAGGTTGTGTGTTTTTACGTCAGTTTAGTTACCAGTTATCAGTTACCAGCTACCTGTTACCAGCTACCTGTTACCAGCTACCAGTTATCAGTTACCAGTTACCAGTTACCAGTTATCAGTTATCAGTTATCAGTTATCAGTTATCAGTTACCAGCTACCAGTTATCAGTTATCAGTTATCAGTTACCAGTTACCAGTTACCAGTTACCAGCTACCAGTTACCTGTCCAGTTTGAGCAACTCACATTCCGCTTACAGCCTGTTTTTGTTTTAAATAAACAGGCTAACCAGCAGGTTGCGTGTTTTTACGTCAGTTTAGTTACCAGTTATCAGTTACCAGTTACCAGCTACCTGTTACCAGCTACCTGTTACCAGCTACCTGTTACCAGCTACCAGTTACCAGTTACCAGTTACCAGCTACCAGTTACCAGCTACCTGTTACCAGCTACCTGTTACCAGCTACCTGTTACCAGCTACCTGTTTAAGTTATCAGTTATCAGCTACCATTTACCAGTTATCAGTTATCAGTTATCAGTTACCAGCTACCAGTTACCTGTTACCTGTAACCTGTTACCTGTTACCTGTTACCAGTTACCTGTCCAGTTTGAGCATCTCACATTCCACTTACAGCCTGTTTTTGTTAACAAACAGGCTAACACTGGTTCTTCACTGGAAGCTAACAGTTTTTAATCTCTTCTTCTTCTTCGAGGGTTTGCAGCAGCTGGCATCATCAATGTTGCACTGCTGCCTGTAAATGTTCCCATAAACGATCAATCTATAAAGGACCAGCTACCTGTTACCAGTTACCAGCTACCAGTTACCAGCTACCAACTACCTGTTGCCAGCTACCTGTTATCAGCTACCAGCTACCTGTTATCAGCTACCAGCTACCTGTTACCAGCTACCTGTTACCAGTTACCAGCTACCTGTTACCAGTTACCAGCTACCTGTTACCAGCTACCAGCTACCTGTTACCAGCTACCAGTTACCAGTTACCAGTTACCAGTTACCAGCTACCTGTTATCAGTTACCAGTTATCAGTTACCAGTTATCAGTTACCAGTTACCAGCTACCTGTTACCAGTTACCAGCTACCTGTTACCAGCTACCTGTAACCTGTTACCTGTTACCTGTTACCTGTTACCTGTTACCTGTTACCAGTTACCTGTCCAGTTTGAGCATCTCACATTCCACTTACAGCCTGTTTTTGTTAACAAACAGGCTAACACTGGTTCTTCACTGGAAGCTAACAGTTTTTAATCTCTTCTTCTTCTTCTTCGAGGGTTTGCAGCAGCTGGCATCATCAATGTTGCACTGCTGCCTGTAAATGTTCCCATAAACGATCAATCTATAAAGGACCAGCTACCTGTTACCAGTTACCAGCTACCAGTTACCAGCTACCAACTACCTGTTACCAGCTACCTGTTATCAGCTACCAGTTACCAGCTACCTGTTACCAGCTACCAGCTACCAGTTACCAGCTACCTGTTACCAGCTACCAGTTACCAGTTACCAGTTACCTGTTACCAGCTACCTGTTATCAGTTACCAGTTACCAGTTACCAGCTACCAGCTACCTGTTACCAGCTACCTGTTACCAGCTACCTGTTACCAGCTACCTGTTACCTGTTACCAGTTACCAGCTACCTGTTACCAGCTACCTGTTACCAGCTACCTGTTACCAGCTACCTGTTACCAGCTACCTGTTACCAGCTACCAGTTACCAGCTACCTGTTACCAGCTACCTGTTACCAGCTATCAGTTACCAGCTACCTGTTACCAGCTACCTGTTACCAGTTACCAGCTACCAGTTACCAGTTACCAGCTACCTGTTACCAGCTACCTGTTACCAGTTATCAGTTACCAGCTACCAGTTACCAGCTACCAGTTACCAGCTACCAGTTACCAGCTACCAGTTACCAGCTACCTGCTACCAGCTACCTGTTACCAGTTATCAGTTACCAGCTACCAGCTACCTGTTACCAGTTATCAGTTACCAGCTACCAGTTACCAGCTACCTGTTACCAGCTACCTGTTACCAGCTACCTGTTACCAGTTATCAGTTACCAGCTACCTGTTACCAGCTACCTGTTACCAGCTACCTGTTACCAGCTACCTGTTACCAGCTACCAGTTACCAGCTACCAGTTACCAGCTACCAGTTACCAGTTACCAGCTACCAGCTACCAGCTACCAGCTACCAGTTACCTGTCCAGTTTGAGCATCTCACATTCCGCTTACAGCCTGTTTTTGTTTTAAATAAACAGGCTAAAACTGGTTCTTCACTGGAAGCTAACAGTTTTTAATCTCTTCTTCTTCGAGGTTTTGCAGCAGCTGGCATCATCAATGTTGCACTGCTGCCTGTAAATGTTCCCATAAATGATCAATCTATAAAGTGACTGACCATTTTTAAAGAAGTTAACAACTCAAAAAATTAAACAAAAGTCACTCCCAGTCAAACCTTTTTGGGACTGTGTAGCATTTTTAGGTATAAACTGGTATTTTAGTTTTTGCTTTGTAAAATATTAATCATTTTTCCCACTGAACAAAAGATGCCAAAGTTTCCAGATTGTAAATGTTGTCGAAACACAAGCAGCAATCACAAGGTTGAATCATGCTACTATAAAACAACAACAATAATTATCAGTTTGGATTACAGCCAGCAGTAACAAATACATGTATCAGACAACAACAAGTAAACAAACCACAGTACAACAGCCGGGATGAATGTTCAATAAAAATTCAGTTAAAGTTTGATTTTATTCACTTGAATGATAAACGAATTAGGACTTCAAATTTAAATTAAGATGTTTATTTTGTTGAGGAAAAAAAGGACTGAAAAAAAGCTTTTACTTAATTTTACTCGTGCATATTTGTTGACAAAGACTATCACAAGTGATCCACTGTTTGGCCTCAAGTGAAGAGTCTAAACCACAATGAACCATCAGGTTTCTTCAACTTTCACACTGGAACATAAATCAGCCTTTAAACTCGAAAGAAATGACGATTTGATGCTAATTATTATAAATTAATTATCAATATCGAAAGATATTAAACTTTTTAGCGGGAAAACATTTTTGGCCGCATCGTCCAGCCCTACATGCTGCACACACAGAACTTCACAGATAATTAGTTAAAATATGGTAACATATAAAATAGAGTTATTTAACACGTAATAATAATAATGTTAACCAGAACATTCTGCAGTGCACTTTTTGAATTTGCATCTGGGGTGAATGTAAACAGCAGCAACAAGATGATAATTTAGTTTCATCTTCACATTTAAGTCCGTCTTGACTCTGAGCACCGAGCATCATCGATGTAAAACACTTCGTCTCGTCTCGCTGGAGTCTTTGCCCTGACAGCTCTGAACATGGACCACCTGCCGAGCGCTTGATCCGGTATGTTGATGAGGCGGGTCTCTTTGAAGATGCCGGCACAACAGTCTCTGATTTCTGTTCTGCATGAGTCCCAGTTTGGTCCAGACCGAACCTTTAGGAGAAGCCTGAAGTCAAAGTTGAGCCAACATGGCTCCTATCGCGGCGCTCTTTCTTCTCCTCTGAGCGATCACCGCACCTCGCCGTGGCGCCTGGTTCAGTTGATCCGGCTGGTGGATCGTGGTCTGCTGCTCTTTAATCCAAAAACCCCGTCTTCCTTTTCCAATGTCTGTATTTCTGTCTTTGAATAAAATACAGCCCGACGAAGAACAAATCTAAGGAGACACTAAAGTCGGAAACAAAAGCAAACCGCCCGGATTCATTTGTTTCAGTCCTTCCTCAGGGCACGCTGGGTCGGAGTAACGCGTGTTTGTTTACTTGTATCCGTCTCTCAGGTCAGGACAGTATACTGGAGCCGCTGTGTTTTCCAGAGGAGTCAGCTGATGGCCCCAGTGCTCCCAGTCTGCAGTGTCCCAGCGCAGAGCCGCTGGTGTGTCTCTTCTGTCCCGAGTCCGTCCCTCTGCAGCAGAAAGACGTCCTCCTCAAACACCTGCTGCTGGAGCACAAGCTGGTCATCGCCGACGTCAAACTCATCGCAGACGTCCCAAAGTATGAACCCTGCGCTGCGTCTACGGCTGGTCGTCCAGAAATAAAACTCAATCTGATTCAGAAGGCTGGGAAAGTGTTTGAAAAGGGTGTAAAATGATGAACAAAGGGTTGGTTTTAGACCGATATATCACTTTGTCATGGATGCAGAAGGAAACGTGTTGCTACTAATTAGTTGGGCTGAGCAGTTATTGTTGATTGACTCTTCCTGGAATCACGATGTGATGGTTTCATCAAATCATCCATCCACTGTCAACCGCTTATCCTGCATACAGGGTCGCGGGGTGATCAAATCATGTTATCACCATATCTGTAAGTACAAATTTAGTTTGTTTTACTCATGAAACGCTGAACATAGTTAATTTTATTGGACCGATATGGGATTTACAGGACCGATGACAATATTTAGAGAGCAGGGCAGCCGATGGCGTTACATAATGCTGCTATCAAAACAAAGAAATGTCACGTATCTTTCCATTAGTCAGTCCCTCCAGGATCTCGCAGCCTTTTTTGTGATTGTTGCGACCTAAAATACTTTATTTTGCGGCAGCTTTTCTAAGAAATAGCGATGAAAGTTGTGATGTTTTGGAGCGTTTTTTGGCAATTAAATTGTAGAAATAAGAGAAAACTTTAAAGCGAGATTTGATTTCTATAGTTGAATCATGAAACAGTCCCCCCTGGACTTGGCGAGCCTAACCCTGCATATTGCCTGACGTCCTCCACGTGTGTCTGACGTTCTCTCTCAAAGCGTTTGTCAGTAGACGATTTCCTTTATGTTCGACCACAATACTGCACGTTCTGCAGAACAGTTTCCCGCTTTGGTGAAGACGATCTGGATCCTGGTCTTCTGGGCCTTTTTTTCTTCTTTTTTTTGTTGGCAAATGTGAGACGTTGGTATCACACACGTCTGCTGCGTCTTCCATACAAGAAAGTGACAAGATGATGCGAGATGGCGATTTTCAAATTTGAGGGAAAGTTGTGGTGAATGAGCTTCAACGATTAATCAAATAATCGATCAGTTGTCTGCTATTAAATTAGTCTATAACTATTTTGATAATCGATGAATTGGTTTGATTCATTTTCTTAATTTTCCGGCTTCTTAAATGTGAATATTTTCTGGTTTGATTCCTCCTCTGTGACAGTAAACTGAATATGACGTCTTCTTGACTTTGGGAAACAGGGATGGATGTTTTTGACTTTTGACACCAAACAACTAATCGATTAATCGAGAAAATAATCATTAGTTGCAGTCTAATCTGCATGTTATCTCAGCAGTAAGCCGTCGTTTCAGATGTTTTATTAATGAATGAAACCGGGACAAACTTTGGGTCCTGCTGTTTAGAGGGGTTCACTCTGTCAGACGTCATTCAGCTGCATTATTCTCTACAGTATAAATATATAAGCTGCTGTCATTTAGAAAAGACGATGGTGACTGAGGACATTTAGGGCTCCAAACTACCTTTTTGACCTCCTTCCCAAAACGAGAAGAGGGAGCGCTAACATCGTTCACCACCAGCTAACTACCGAGGCTGCTGCAGACGTGTCCACAGACACTTTTTGTTTATCGGCCTTGTGAGTGCAGGCCCGGTTAATCGGCTGACCGATTATTATCATTTTGATTTGTATGTGATTTTGAGAACCGTTTCCACATCATAATATATATAAACTGTGTATTGAGGGAGAAATATCGACAGTGTCAACTCTCAGCTCTGCTAACGAGGTATTAATAAGATATTATCCAAGAGTCTGTTAAATAAACTACCTCTATGGTGTCAAAGGTGAGCATTGCTGAAGCTTTTCTGACGTCTTTCCTGTCCTCCGTCAGGTACATGTTGTACTGGAAGGGCAGATTCATGGAGCAGCCGGTCACAGACTTCTGCAGCGTGATCAAGACAAACTCCACCGGTCCTGTTGGTGAGTAGAGTAACAGGAAGTTTGTTTTACAGGGACTGCAGTGGAGAGGGAATTGCACCTTTTTAAAATAGTTTTGAGCTGATCCATATTTTCTGGAATAAAAACCTGCATCTTATAGATAAACTTACATATGATGTGAATGCAGAATTAAACATACTTTTATATATATAAATAACCAGTTGTTGCTCCCACAGAGAAGCAGGAGGACTACTTCCTGCTGTGTGACGTCCTTCCAGAAGACCGAGTCCTCCGAGAAAGACTCCAACAGAAACGACTGGTGAGTCGGTCACGATCTCAGTGCCACAGCAGAAGAAACACTACAGTCACCTTCTGATCGTCTGGCGTCAATCAAAAACTGAAGCTAATTTCTTTTTTCAACATGCTGTTGACAGTTTTCCGACGACCCAATCCAAGCCAAAGTTGAGTTGTTTAAAAGATGTGATCAGAGTTTCTGGAAAATATCAACAGGATCCCCTGACGTTTCTTTTAATGGTTTTAACTCTCCCCTCCAGTAAAAATCAGAGAGGAGACTCCTTCTCGCAATAGGACGTTGGCGATGCTGTTTTTCTTCTGCAGTGTTTGTCTGACGGTGTTGCTGGTCTTCCACAGGAGGAGGTGCTGGAGCAGCAGCAGAAGGAGAGAGACGACAGCAGCTTCCAGCGTCTCTGCATGTTCTGCAGCGAAGAGTTTGCTGGAAACAGGTACGGCCGTGTGATGATGCATTTCCGTCAGCTGCTTTGAAACTTCCTGATTGTTACAGAGTACATCAGTAAATGTAAAATCAGAACCCAACACTGGACTGGGGCTGGGCAATAAAACAATAAGGATAATTATTGCAATATAATGTTTTTCAATAACAATATAACAAATGTTCAATATATCGTTAATAATTAATTAGCCGAATTAGCACTTAATTTTTCTGTTAAGATGTTTATTTTGTTGAGGAAACTGAAAGAAGAGTTACTAATCATATTTCCTGTAACCATCTGGCCCTTCAATTTATATTCAGGGGCAAAAATTAGCCTTTAAACTTGAAAGACATAAGAATTTGATATTTATCGTGATAATTATCGATATCGAATGAAATGTTTTTATGGTGATAACAGTTTGGGCCATATCGCCCAGCCCCCTCGCTTCAGCGACATGTGTTGGGTCATATTTCAAGTTTTAAAAAAATGTATCTGACCAACCACTGATCACACTTTACAACAACAAGATGCAGCACATGATGATGAGGACGTACATTTAATTGAAGAATGTCAGCAGATCATTCTTGATTTGAAAAATACATTTAGAACTTTTTGTTGTTTATTTCAATATTGAAGTTATTAACAGATTCCATAAAAATCCTAAAAGGCTCCTGCTGAAGACGTAAATCTTTACAAACAACTCACAAACATGTAGTTTCATAATAATAATTTTTAAAAACCTGCCGCCATCGTGTTTCCAGGTCGTCTCTGCTGAACCACATGGCCAGAGAACATTCCTTCAGCATCGGACTGCCAGACAACATCGTCTACTGCGACCAGTTCCTGGACACTCTGCAGAGCAAACTGGACAAGTAAGACCTGCCTCAGCTGAGGAAATGTAATAACCTGCAAACTCTATGTTTAATTAGAGATTTTAATGTTAGTGAAGTTGTTTAAAAAACGTTCTTAGGTCATTCAGTTTGTATGAGAGGAAGCCTCTGATCACATTCACACCTGGAAGCTGCCCAGTACAACCAGTCTGACCTGTTGGCCACTGAGCAGCTCCACTGGAGCGGTTGGGATTAACACGATCTCCACACAGAAAATACAAACAGTAGAGTTAGCATTGGTACAGAAAATGAATAATGGTACTGATAATTATCGTTATATTAATTACACTAATAATAATAGGGCTCGTAACAGTAACAGGAGGGCAGCAGGTGACTCGCAGATCCAGAAACACCTGCAGGAAGTGATGGGAGGAGAGAGGAGCTCAGTGCATCATGGGAAATCCCCCGGCAGTCTAGGCCTATAGCAGCATAACTAAGGGATGGTTCAGGAGTCTTAAGCCTACTCTTAAATGTGGAGATGGTGTCTGCCTCCTGAACCCAAACATAAAACCACGAGCTCTGCACACCGTTTTCTTTCTGCCTTTTCATTTCTTCATTTCCACGACATACACATACAAAATAAAGGCATTTACATTTACACGTTAGGCAGACGCTTTTATCCAAAGCGACTTACATTGGGGAACAACGTACAAGCAATAATGCAGCACGAGAGCTGATGGCATGTATGGCTTCAGTGGGATGATAAGTTCAGAAGCCCGACAGCCTTCAGTCCAAGTTAACGGTGTTTTTCTGTCAGCCTGCAGTGTTTGTACTGTGAGAAAACCTTCCGAGATAAAACCACTCTGAAGGATCACATGAGGAAGAAAGCTCACCGCCGCATCAACGCCAACAACTGCGAATACGACCGCTTCTACGTCATCAACTACCTGGTAAGACTTTAACATCCTGACTTAGACAGAACTCAAAAGCCAAAGTATGTCTGTTGAGAGTTGCGTCGCCAAGTCACATGTTTACAGAGTAAAATATTCTTCTCGCTGTAAGAAAGGTCTTGTTCCTTCGTGGAGTCACTGCAGTTACATTTTAATAGTGAGAAGTTTTCCCGTCCACAGACGTGTGACGGAGCATTGGTCCTTATTTTGGTAAAATCGTTAGTGTTTTGAACACACAGATGGACAAGATCTATCCAGTAGATGTTGAGTTTTATTACAGTCTGTGATCTTCAAACGTCTCCATCCCCTCTGCTGTCAGGAGCTGGGGAAGACCTGGGAGGAAGTGCAGAGCGAGGATGACCGAGAGCTGGTAGACGATGAAGACGAGTAAGTATCTGCAGCAGGAACCAGAAGGGTCAGAATAAATCAGTCTGGGGCCAAAGCATGCAGGTTTTACTGACGTTCTACTTCACTTTCATTTGTCTCCTCAGAGTTCAGAGTTTCATTGTTCTTGACACATCTCAAGTAGATCGAATCCTCTGACCACAGACCTTATTTGTGTCGTATCTCATGTGTGAAACCTGCTTCTCCTCTTTATCTCCCGGCTGTCTGACATCTCTGTTTGGTCCGCAGCGACTGGTCGGACTGGCGGGCTCATCCGGTGTCTGCTGTGTGTCTGTTCTGTGATCATCAGTCAGAGACGATGGATCAGATCTACACACACATGAAGGTACAGCAACAAACAAGAAAGACCAGTCCAGAAGTCAAAATCATCTGCTTTAGTGATTGTGTGTGAAGAGGGCAAATATTATTAACTTATTATCATCATACGGAGAAGTTAGCTCAACAGTAAGCTGGTTGTAACCATAGACTGTATATAAAAAGGTTGTAACGGTCTTTTTTAATCAGATGGTTCTTGTCAAAGTCGCACCCACTGACATGTGACATGGTAATGAGATTAACCGGAGTTGTTCACTTCACCTGTCGGGGCTCATAATGTTATAGCTGATCGGTGTATTACGATCTACGCTGCTTTTATAACAGCTAGTTCTCCGGATGGACTGTTCTTTCTTTTTCAGGAAGCTCATGGTTTTGATCTCCACAAAGTGAGGACAGAACTCAGTAAGTAAAACCACATTAGAAAACAAACACTAACAACAAAGTGCTGAACTGCACCATCTTTAAAAATCAACAGCATCCCCATGATTAAAGGAAGCAGTGTACAAGTTTGACTTTGCTCCATAAGATGACTGGAAACAGCCAGAAGTTCAGATATAAAATATGAAATGTGATATAAAAAGATGCAAATGTATTTATAAAAAAAGCAAGACAAAATAGAAGATAAGAAATGAACACTGAAAGCGTAGTTAGAGTGCTGTGCAGCAACATATGAGTGGAATAGTCCTAAATGTTATTTATTTACAAGCAGTGGCGAATAGAAACGTTTTGAACCTTGATTTGAAAGAAGAGTTGGAGCAGAACAGCGGAGCAGGTTTTCTGAGTTTGTTCCAAATATATGGTGCATCAGAACATTACAGCCTCTAGTTCGGCAGGAGACTTGATTGATTAATAAACTGATAATGCAGCACTGACTTGATAATTATATATTTTAATGTGTGATATACTTACGCTCTGCCGCGTCCTCCCTCAGATCTCAGGTTCTACCAGCAGGTGAAGCTGGTGAACTTCATCCGGCGGCAGATCCACCAGAGCCGCTGCTACGGCTGCCAGGAGAAGTTCGCCTCCAGAGACGACGTCCTCCGTCACATCGAGGCTGAAGGTCACGTGATGAAGCTGCCGGACATGTCGACCTGGAATCAACCACAGTAAGTTCAGCAGCTGTTTTAATTTCATGTTTGATTCCCTGGACCTGCAGCTGGGTCGTACTTTCCATTGATACTACCACTAGGGGGCGCTAATGTTTGAAATTCCAGAACGCATCTTTAAATTCTTGGTTCTGAATAGTTTGAGAGGGGAAATCCAAAATAAAACACCGAAGTTAAACCCTCAGGGCCCAAGTTGTGTCTGTAATCACAATCCTTCCACTTAAAGTCATAAGTCAGTCGAACCTGAACTGTTTTATATTCAGCATAAATTAAACTGTTCTGGGATTTAGAATAATAGGAGTAACAAACCCCATCTTTCAACATGGTTCTTACACTCCTGGGATGCTGACATTCTCTTTTCACTCATATACTGATATCTGTGGTAACGTGAACGTTACTCCATTTTAATTTAAAAAAAAACTGTATTGCACAACTTATGTGCTTATTATGGGAAAAAATGTTAGCAGTAGTGGCGAGAGACAACAATTTTTTTTATCCTGTTTGAATTACATACATGATGTTAATAATAGATCTTTTAAGTCAAGAAAGTCAAAGTTTGTCGTAAAACTCTAAAGTAACATTTAGTTTTGTGTGAGAGCTTCAATTATATCTCTTGTCCTGCACAACATACGTCTCCGATAAGTTAACGCTGTAATCGGGGGCGGAGCTAGACTCTCAGCACAGTGGGGGCGGAGCTTCATCACAGGGCCCACCTGCAACCAAGAAGTTTGCATGACCCCGGACTAGGGCTGGGCAATAAAACAATTATGATAATTATCGCAATATAATTTTATAATGTTCAATATATCGTGAATAAATATTTGGTTTAATTCATTTGAATCACGGACAAATTGGCCTTTAATTTTTATATAAAAATATTTATTTTGTTGAGGAAAAGGGACTGAAAAAAGATTTAATAATCATATTTGTTGAAAAAGATTTTATCTTAATAGTTTTGAATGTTTTATCTCAGACTTGTGAAGTGATCCACTGTTTTGTAATCGAGTGTTTGACAATAAAAAAACGTTTAAACCATAATTAACCATCTGGTTTCTTCAATTTTCACTCAGGAGCAAAAATCAGCCTTTAAACTTAAGAAATAATGATTTGACATATATCGTGATAATTATCGATATCGAATGATTTTGGCCGTATCGCCCAGCCCTACCCCGGACTCACTCTGAAAGTCCACAGAGTCTTTCTGCGTCGCTGCTGCCGGAGCTGATCGCAGTAATTCTACTAAATGTTTGTGTTCACACCAGAAGCGCTGCCGTGAGTCCAGGAAGCGTCCCAGCCTCAAGCCGCACAGAGCAGATGATCCGGGCAGGAAGTCAGACACAGAAACGGTAGAGAATTTGGTCAATTTTCAAAATAAAATACCCGGTATAGACTTCCGATCGTATGTCAACAATAAACAGAGTTAAATCAGACAAAAAACATTTTTACTACGTAGCTACTTAATCACAGTAGAAGCACGAAAAGCAAGCACTAATCACCAAATCAACAAAATCTAAACATGACGGCAAAATTCGGCAGGCAAAACGCTCTTATTCTGAAATGCTCCCTGTGGTAGGTGCTAGATGCACTCGTCAAGACGAGGAACTAAAGCGATCCACAGAGAGCTTTGAAGAATGTAGTAGAAGCACAAATAAGACAATTAAAAACAAGTCATTAACGTGCTGAAATGCTTCTGAGACGCTTCCAGTGGACGCCGTAAATAACCCGCCTCGCACACGCAGCCTACGTCCGTCCCTCAGAATTCCCATGATGCATGAGCGTGTTTTGTTAAAATGTGCAAATAAGTTTTCCATTTGTTTGAAATACAAATGTTTCTTTATGATTTATGTTTATTAAAACGTGTCTCCTTAGAATCTAGTGTTTATGTTGGTGATTATCATTCTTGTCCTGGTTTACCATTGAAACCATGAGTGAAGGGACTGTTTCATTTGATAAGAGCTGCTGAATCCTCCCCGACGTTGCCTTTAGTGATGTTAGCGTCAGTGACATTAGCTTCAGTAATGTTAACTTCAGTGATGTTAGCGCCAGGGACGTTGCCTTCAGTAACTTCTAAATAAAATTTAATTGAATTAACGTTAACTTCAGTGACGTTTGCTTTAGTAACTTTAGCTTCAGTGACGTTAACGCCAGGGACGTTGCCTTTAGTGATGTTAGCGTCAGTGACATTAGCTTCAGTAATGTTAACTTCAGTGATGTTAGCGCCAGGGACGTTGCCTGCAGTAACTTCTAAATAAAATTGAATTGAATTAACGTTAACTTCAGTGATGTTAGCGCCAGGGACATTGCATTTACGGATGTTAGCGTCAGTGATGTTAGCTTCAGTAACGTTAGCTTCAGTAACGTTAACTTCAGTGACGTTAGCGCCAGAGACGTTGCCTTCAGTAACTTCTAAATAAAATTGAATTGAATTAACGTTAACTTCAGTGATGTTAGCGCCAGTGACTTCAGTGACGTTTGCTTCAGTAACTTTAGCTTCAGTGACGTTGACGCCAGGGACGTTGCCTTTAGTGATGTTAGCGTCAGTGACATTAGCTTCAGTAACGTTGCCCTCAGTAACGTTAGCTTCAGTGACGTTAGCGCCAGAGACGTTGCCTTCAGTGATGTTAGCGTCAGTGACAGTAGCTTCAGTAACGTTGCCCTCAGTAACATTAACTTCAGAAATGTCGCCTTCAGCAACGTTAGCTTCAGTAACGTTAACTTCAGTGACGTTAGCGCCAGAGACGTTGCCTTCAGTGATGTTAGCGTCAGTGACAGTAGCTTCAGTAACGTTGCCCTCAGTAACGTTTACTTCAGAAATGTCTTTCTTCAGTAACGTTAGCTTTTGTAACGTTCGTGTCAGTGACATTAGCTTCAATAACGTTGGTCTCATTGACATTAGCTTAGAGAAAAAAATTATGTGACATATGCAACTTTTGGGTTTGACGTCATTGTAATTACATATTTTTTCTTATACTTAAACAGACTTTGAGTTTCAAAATTAAATTTAAATTGACAAACATCATGCGTGTAACTCTGAGAACAATTCAAACAGGGTCAAAACATTAGTCGCCTCCCAACTGTACATATTCAGCAAAAAGCTGAGCTAAAACCAAAAGGGTTTTAAAAACGCCTGCCCTCAATCTCTCCTCAGGTATTACTTCCCCACGTATGAGAACGACGCCCTCCTGTGCACACTATCTGACAGCGATGAAGATGAAAGTGACGAGACAAATCACAGCGAAGACGTCCCGGTTATCGCCGAGGACATTTCCAACCTCAGAGCGCTGAAACAGAGCAGCGTCCTCCACCAGCTGCTGAAGACCAGAGACTCCTGCAGATAGGACGGCAGACAGTTTTGGGAAGTGGGGTGTTTGGACTTCTTCGTTTCTTTCCTTTGGACTGAATTCTTCCTCTCACCAGACTTGTCGTCCCTGTGTGCAGCAGGGCTGTGAAAAAGTGCTAATAAACTGAAGTGTTTTTGCTGGATCTGTCAGTACAGAACAGTATTTTTCTCCACACTTGTAGGCACTTAAAACCATGCTCTGCGAAAAGCTAATTACACCAATTATGCGCCCTGAACATGCACTTTAAAAGAAGCCTTTTCAGAAGTGCAGACTCGTCTGCAGCTCAGACGACTGTCAGCATGTCTTACTTACTAATTCTCTCTATTCAAGCGATAATATGAAACATGTTTTTCTTGAATATGAAGTTTATCACTTAAAGTAAACCTAAAGTTTTCTTTTGTAAATTCAGAAACTTTTGCCAGTACTTAATATAAGTCATGAAAACTGCAGTGCTGATTGAACACTCGATTTCAATCGTGTTTAAAGTAAAACAGGATTTGAGAACAAAAAGTGTCTTCCATCTCTTTTTGGTAAATAAATGTTCATCAATCAACGGTCCATCTTCAGTTTGTCGTGGAAGAGAACTGCGGCGTGCTCAGTGTTTCCACCTCGTCCTTCACGTCTGGACTCACAAACACACGGCACTGCAGAGAAACCAGAGGACACAGCTGTTGGTGAGAAAACAAGCTGCCACCGTGTGGAGTTTGCTGTCAACACTTTTGCACACAATCCCATGAAACAGGTTTAGTAATCCAAAACTGGTGATGGATCTAATCCAAAATCACTAAACAGAATTAAGATTTTTTCTAATCAGTATTTAATGCTGGAGCACGGGATTTGGAACATAAATTAAAGTTCACAGAATGCTGATTAAACCTCTCACCAGCAGGTAAATCTCTCTGTAATTGCAGCAAACCAGAGTTTAAGTCTGGTGTATGTGGTGGAGTAATGATGTGTTTTACACCAACCAGCAGGGATTGGTTGGTCAGAACTGAACTGGTGAGCAACCCAGAACCTGACATTTGTGTTCAGTGTTTGGATCAGTGAAGGATTTCTCTGTGAAACTGTTTGGCAAACGTGCTAACACATCTCACCACCACAATTTAGATTCTGTGTGAAAAAGCGCTTCTTCTCTTTATCTTTCACTAGCAGACGTGGTCTTTACTTGAGGGGAATAATATAAAATATGTTTGGAAACCTTGAGCTGAATCATTTTCTTCTACTAAATATTAAGGCTGGGCGATGTGGCCAAAAATGTTATCCAGATAAAAACATTTCATATCATTTGAAATCGATAATTATCACGATATAAGTTTAAAGGCTGATTTTTGCTCCTGAGTTAAAATTGAAGAAATCAGATGGTTAATTGTGGTTAAACTTTTCTTTATTGTCAGAACGGGACAAACAAATCTGAGGTAGAACATTCAAAACTATTAAGATAAAATCTTTTTCGACAAATATGATTATTAAATCAACAAAATAAATATCTTAATAGAAAATTAAGTGCTAATTTGATCGTCAATTACACATTTATTGACGATACATTGAACATTAATTATATTGTTAATGAGGAAAATTATATTGCAATAATTATGAGCAACAAATATGCAGCATTTTTCATCAAGTCATTAAAGACGTGATCAGTGGGGATGTTGCCACTTTGAAACTGACTATGAGTAAACTACACCGCCTCCACCTTCATCTGTGTTCACATTTAAAGACCAAATACATCAGACTGCCTACAATGTGAGGATACGCAGCTCAAAATAAAGCATCACTTCACACCTTTAAAAACATTGGGGGTTTTCTTTGACTCACACTTTCTCCCAGTTCACTCTCGCATCTTAAAACTGAACGGTTCTGACCTGATGATGACTTCTTGCTGCGCATCGTGTACGTCTTCCCGGAGCCGGTTTGTCCGTCGGCCAGAACACCAACGTTACATCCGTCCACACAGGAAGTTATCACTGACTGCGTTTCTGCAGACACCACCTGCTGCGGAGAGGAAGATGATGTGGAAATCATTAAAAAGGAGAAGTTGCTTCTTGATGTGTCTTCCAAAATCCGATGTCAGATTTCATTTTAAATGTTGCTCTAACTTCTTCTAGCTTTGGCCTGACTGTTTTCCTTTGAAAGCGGTTCTGCATTCCAGCAGCACTTGTCTCTTTAGATAATGTTTAAATAAAACACTATGAGGCATTAAATGCTGTTAAATAGAAATAAAAAACCAAGTTTTATTATAGATGGATGGATTTTAACGGTGCTCTACGAGGGCCCAGCGCTCGTTAGGATCTGCAGCTCGTTAAGGACAACTGCTTGCCTTCCCTACAGGCAAAATTAACAACATTGTTGTGGTATTTAACAGGATGCAGGAGAGATTAAACTGGAAGCTTTGGTGTTATTTAACTGCAGAAACCTTGTTCACTGATATGAATGCCAGATAGTAAAACTTGTCAAACTGTACGCCCTCTGTTTTCAGTCTTTGTGCTAAGCTAGGGCACACACATCTAAACAAGCTCTCAAAGGGAAAGAAATAAAATTATGACTGGGCGATATGGTTGAAATTAATAAGACAAATGCAGGACAACAGTTACGTACGTCCCTCACCAGGCAGCTGTTCCTCTGGAAGAGATGGTCCACCTCCTCCTCTTTGGAGCCTCAGATCCTCGACGATCCTTTCCTGCTCCAGGAGAAGTTTGGAGTTTAGTGGAGCAAGTGAAGATGCTGCCTTAAGGTAGACTTCTTATGATGGGTGACAATTATTGAGGGCTAACCTGGACCAAGTAAGGGGAAAGAGTGCAGGATTAACAGTACCCTTCCTTATTAAATTCAAAGGTGTGGCCTTTGTAGGCGGGATGAGACTGACCCAGCTGTACCGGTCAAATTGACCTAAATAATTAGCAACCTGTAAATTCACATATTTCTTTGATCAACATAACAATCATTAAGTTAACTGCTGCTCCCACAGGTTCCGTGTGGAGAGCAATACATGTACATGATGTCAGACTGAACAACGAGGTGAAACAAAATGTCAACTCTGATTATCGGTGAATACTTAAGTTTGCTTGTTTTGCGGTTTCTGAATGTTTATTCATTTTGTCTTCGGGATTACATTTTTTAACAAACACGCAAATATCTACATGGAAGAAGTGGAGAATAAAGCACTCAAATCCTTCAGAGGAACAGCACCGAGCCACTGGTACAGATATGTGGACGACACCTGGGTCAAAATTAAAACACATCAACTCTGCGGACAGTAACATCAGGTTCACACGAGAAGATGTTCACAACAACAGTTTGGCCTTCCTGGACTGCGCTGTACACATTGAAGAGGACACAGAAAACCCACACACACAGACCAATACCTACTGTTCGATTCCCACCACCCACTGGAGCACAAGCTAGGGGTCATGAGAACACTGCACCACAGAGCGGAAAACATACCAACAAGCGCCCAAGCCAGAGAGAAGGAACAGAAGCACCTGAAGGGGGCACTTACAGCCTGTGGAGACCCTAAATGGACCTTTGTGAAAACAGCCACAAGATCCAAGAAGAACAAAACTACAGGGGAGGAAAAGAAGGTCAAACGCAACAACATTGTGATTCCATACGTGTCTGGAGTAACAAACGTAACTTATTGGCCTCAGATGCCAGCGATGGTCGTTCAGTCTTGGCCTCAGGTGTTTCTAACAACCATGACGACTGTCGTTTCACACATGAAATAACAATTTAAACTTGTGGACATTAAGATGTATTTTTCTGCAGTTAGTTTTTCTGACCTGATTGATTAAACAGGTCTATTTTGTTGAAAAATGTAATCCAGACGTCAAACGATTAAACAAACATCCAGCAGCAGCAGAACATAACTTATTTTGGGAAAGTAGGCCCAGCTGGAACAGCAAATCTTTTCTGCAAATTAATGCATGAAAAAAGACCAAAAGTAGATCTTTGTTGGATCAAAACAACAGGGTCCAAGAGTTTCTTGCTGATTTACAAGACTTTCCAGACTTTATCATCTGCTGAACGCCAGTCATTTAAGGTGAGCGGTCAACATTTATCATTTGTCCCACCGCACCTGAGGGCAGCTCTTGCAGATATTGACCTTTCAACATTGTGACCATTTTCTTAAAGGCTCAATCTGTGATGATGATAAGATATTGAGTTTCTCCCTGACTGTGATCAGAGCAGCCTGCCTGCACCGCTTCATCGCCGCACCAGAGCGCAGCACGAGTCTATCAAAGGAATTCAGAGCAGAGCATCAATGTTGTGCAGCATGTTCACTCATAGAGGTGGAAACACCGGAGCGGTTCAGACAAACACTCAAAGGCTTCATGGTTCCTGTTATTCTCATAACTCATGTTAATCATCTGATTTTTTTCAGTGTGAAATGCACAAATCAGCTGGATGCTGATCTTTTTAATTCTGCACAAACGCTGTTGTTGCTGTTTATATTTATCTATGTATTATACACACATTTATGTGTCTGTGCACAGTAGTTTAATGTTTACCTTGGCGAGCTTGTCCTATTTTTGTGTATTGACAGCAATGTAAAACTGGAAACAAGTTCCCTGTATGTGTGCACGTACCTGGCCTATAAAACTGATTCTGATATGGGCCATATGTGGTTCTACATGCAAATGGATCTCAGCAGTACATTTTGAAGGCTTGCAGTGTGAACAATGCCTTAGGCCGGGCTCACACCAGCCTTGTTTAGTCCGGTTTAACTGGACCCTGAAGCTTTTACCCCCTCGGTGCGGTTTGTTTGGCTTGATGTGAATGCCAGACTCAAACTCTGGTGTAGACCAAACAACTGCTCTCTGGTCCACCTCGAAGGGTTGGTCTCAAACCAATCACACAGGAAGCGGACTGGTTTTAAAAATGTTTTCTCTTCCTGGTTTGGTGACTGGTGAGCTAGCAGCGTGTTTGCTACCAAAATGACAAACCTGTCTCCTGAATATCTGAGCTGAAGAGAGCGTTTCTCAGTCACAAGGAGAGAATCCACGCAAGATACAAGCATGATTTATTGAACTAAACACAAATGAACAATGAGGTGTGGAAATCAGCAGTATCAACAATGTAAGCGTGGCTGTGTGGCGTGTGTTCTGGACAGGTGCTGTGGTGCAAAGGAAGGTAGGACTGAAGTTTTGGGCCAGGTGAGCTCAATCAGCTGATGACCCTCCCAAGTCAGCCAGTTGCCAGGTGAGGTTGGCTGGGACAACCTTTACGACAGTGGGAGGGGCTTCACATAATAGAGAAGGCGCATATGAAAACTGACGTGTTCAGAATATTCAGCGATGAAATGGAGAATGGATTCTAGTGATCTGTTGAGCAGTGGTGTTTGAAAGTTAAAAGTAGGCCACTGCAGTATTTGAGTATTAGGAGGGTTTGTTTTTTACCCACTGACTGTATGACCATTAATCAAACGCATGGATTTTGTTTCCAGACTTTTGAGTTTTTGCTTTCATGAGCACAAACCAGCTGGAGAATTTAAAGAGGGCATCGTCTTTGCGTTGATTTGATTCAAGATCCGGACCTTTAGATGTGAACCCGT